TTGATTTACCCGAACTTCCGACTGCCTTTCAGAGTTGTGACCGACGCAAGTACCACTGGACTTGGAGCATGTTTAATGCAGGACGCAGGAAACGGATGGAAGCCAGTGGTGTACGCCAGCAAAGTGAACAGCGAAGCTGAAAGCAAGTACACCATCACGGAGATGGAGTGTTTGGTGGTGATCTAGGCAATCAAACTATTTCGTCCCTACCTGTATGGAAGACGCTTTACCATCGTGACGGACCATATCGCTCTCAAGTGGCTGATGACGAGCGCGATCTTGACTGGACGACTCAACCGGTGGGCCTTGACGCTTCAGGAATACTAGTTCTGCAAAGAGTATCGACCTGGCAATACGAATGTAGTAGCTGACGCCTTGTCCAGAGCACCTGCCGTAAGAGAGCTGCTGTATTGTACGCGACATTGAACAATGGGCCAGAATCTACAGGGGTATAATTGGTACAAGATTTGGAAAAACCTATATCGACATTAAGATATAGGGTCAAATCACGCGTTTACATTTTGATTTTGCAATCAGTTTTAATCAATTTCCATCAATTTTAAAATGGCCACTCCAAGAGGCGCAATATTCGGGGGAAAGGCGCACCAAATTAAGATCTATGATTGGTCTAGATTTGAAAACATATGTACAAAAGGAAAGAGAGATTTCACCAGGTCGCAGATTGATTCTGGAGATTTAACATGCAATCCTTCAGTCAGGATGGTGAAAAAAATATAAAGGTGTTCGGTTGTTCTCAGTTAATTTTCTAGTGATTTCTGCAGAGCAACATATTCGTCCTCAATCTTCTGTACGTGACGAAAAGTACACCTCAGATCGATCGACCGCTTCCCCAACTCGATTCGCAATTTTTTTTGTAGATACTTGTTTCGAAATGCAATATTCGCCTCAGAGTTTGCGTACATGTGCCTTTTTTCGCCTTTCAAGTATCGAAAATCCAGCTCGCCTAAAAATCGCTGCATTGTACGCTCAGCAAGTAGAATCCCCGTCACTTCGTGGAGATGTAGGCTGATACGGGTTGCAGTAGTTGGGCGTACAACTTTATTTTCTCTTTCAATAAATTGACGGATTGTTGGCTCGATATCTGTCAGCTCATAATCTCGTTTTCGGCCTCTGTCATTTTCGCCAGCCTTTGTACAAATATTAATTGTTAAAGGTAGTTGTTACAATATCAGTTAAGATGTATTACCTCAAAATCTGTCGTTGGATTTTTATTTTTCTCGTTAACCACGGAATCAACTGTGTTGGGAGCACAGCGTAGGCAATCGGATACCAATTGACATGTCCTGATGCCCTTGAACATGCCGTGTTCTTTCTGGTTTTTGAAGAATTCATAGCTGTTCACTATCACTTGCTCTCTATCGGGGAATACTCGTGCTTGTCCGACATCGTGCAGTTTCAAAAGGAGGCTTGTGGCTAATTGAAGAGTGCCACTGCCTTCGCAAACCACTAAGATATATATAGCAATTTCATTTAAATGAAACGGACAAATATTAGCCTCGTTACAGCCTGTTCTGTACAGGTTATAATTCCTGGCCCATTGTTCAATGTCGCTTACAATAGGCAGGAGACGAAGGGCCAGACGTCGTCGGTGCTACGAAAACAGCAGAAACCGGCACGACTGAGGGCGAGACCAAGAACCGCGACACGGCCGAGCCGAAGTCGCCAGGTGTTGGAGAGGAGGCGACACGTGCAACGCCAGATGACGAGTTGGCGCAACCGAAACAGCGGTCAATGAGCGGAACACGAGGACGAGCAACACCTGTAAAAGCGGTGGAGCCACAGAGCTGGCAATACAGTCAGTGACAGTTGCGGCAACGACCAGTACAAGTGATCGAGGCGAAGAGAATACGATACGTCGGCGACCCAGGAATACCCGCGTAGCAGTGGATCCAGCGACGACAAACCGACCCTTCACTCGAGCGGAGAGACGGCGACTAGAGACGCATTCGGCGACACGCAGTTTGGATCAGCGTGCTGAAACGGCCCTTGAAGAAGCGACGCAGTCGTCCAAGACTGTGCGGAGAGAACCAACTACTGAACAACTGGCAAGTGACGAGAAGATGCTGACGACACGGACAGAGAACTCGGAAGCAAAGGAGACACCAGGAACTCTCGACGGCAGTGAAGCTAAAGGAGACCGCTATGTGAGAAGACCTACGGCACCTCGAAGCAGAGAAATGCGCCAAGAGACAACAGTGGTAGAACCCCGAGGCTCACGAGGAAACCCTCAAGCGGCGTCGACGCGACGAGTCAACGACTAGCAGTACCGCAACAACCGGAGAGTCGACGACGAGCAGATGGAGCACAGCGTGATGAAGCAATTCGCGGTGAAAATGAACGTGACGAGCATGTACGAGCTAACGGTGGACGATTCGGCAATGGACAGCGCCTTACAATGTCGAGCGTACAACACAGAGAACGTGAAGTGGTAAGACCTCGAGCCGGACAAACACTTCAGCTCACTGACGACGAAGTCATCGCCGCTCAAGCCAAGAGCAGGTTGGCCCAGAAGATGATTACAGCGAAAGTGTACCGAGGCATGAAGGTGGAAACACAATAGGGTTGGTGTTGATTCACACGGTGCACGGACGTCGAGTGATTTTGCCTCCTGCACTGTGGCCCATCGCTTTCAAGGAGTGTCATGACTCAATTTGGGCAGGTCATCTGAGAGCACCACACACCTACGCTAGAATA